GGCCGAGAGCATTCCTACTCATCAAAATGTGGTGGTGAGAGATATCGTGTTTAATACTTTAATTTAGCGGTAGAGAAATATCTTTGACGAAAAAGGGAATCTAAAGGAATGCCCTTTGTTACTACTGATAAAAAGATGCCGACTTTCTTACAGTTCAGCCGGCGGCTGGTCCGCCGGAGTTATCCTCGGAATCCGGTGGCTCTTCTTCTTTACCGCAATTTTATCTAGATCCAAATTTTCCTTATTAACCTTTTTCCAGTATCTAATTCATACCAAGATCCATATCTGATGATCATCTCTCACCAAATCTATAAATTGCATAATCAATGAGATTTTTTTTTAATGTTATTGTCTAGTGTTTGCGCATGTATATCATCTAAATTTGTACAAAACTCACACGCGCGCACACACACACATACACATATATATATATATATATTTGGCGATTCAAAGACGGAAAAACAGAGAGAAACTATAAATTTGTATGTTACATGTATTTCTTTCATTTTACTAAATCCCGACAGTTTTGGGTTATGAATCACATGTAAGAAGAGGAATCTATACGATACTATATAATTAGTATACACTCAGTCAGAGAGGAGCATATTTATAACGCAGAGCGAAATTGCCGACAACTGAAAAGTGAAGTTGTTCCTCTCCGACAATGGCGAAACGATGAACCTTCTCTCTTTAAACCCATCTTCGCATGTCACAGAGGCATCGAGCACAGAGCTCACATCAATGTTCGCATCACTGTAACGCCTTTCCCTGTAACGAAACAGATCCCATCCCATGAGAGAGAGAGAGAATTCTTTTGTAACATCCATATCAGATTTTTTTTTTAATCTCTTACATGTAATCCTGACGGGCTTGCTTGAGAGTGACGATGGCGTCTGAATAAAGATCGAGACAATCCGCCAAGCAAGATCTCATCATGGGTTCAAGCTTCTTGTTCCTTAGGAGTTTTCTTATGTACCTTCTCGTGTTTGTGGCGTTGTGACGTAGAAGATTGATGGAGATCTTACCGAGGTCGGGTAGATGGGCACGGGGGCTCCGAGGGTCCGAGCCGAGGGCGGCTATGCACAAGCGGGATTCGATGTTAGGGTCGTTCCTTGAGCATTTATTGCATGTTTCCTGAACAATGTCGTCGTCGTTGCAGGTCGTGGGAGAAGAGGTGAATAAGAAGAGGCCGAGAATTGAGAGGGAGATTGAGAAGGGTGATCTCATTCTTTTGAGTGGTAAAAAAAAAAAAAGAACTAAGATGGTGATTTAAGTGTATGAACTTCGTTTATCTATGCGTGTGTGTGTGTACATATATATATACTCACATATATAGGCGTGTCTATATGTGGGATTTGGCAAAGGCGTTTCTGGGTAAAGGTCAAACTGTGTTTTTCACGTTGTCATTAACGGCAAGACACATTTCTTCTTCAGTTTTGGTTGCACTTCAAGACAAAGATTCTGTGTTCTGCAGTGCGTTTATGCAGCTTTAAGCAAACGAAAAGATGGAAATTCGACAAAAGATTTGGCATTTTTTACGAGGTAGAGTCACAGCTTTGCCTCTAAGCTAAGATTAATTTACCATTTGCTCGGACACGATCAAAACCCGCGACCAAAACTTTGCCGAAAACTGGATATTTCCACTGAATTACCATTCTGCAGAGTTTCAGAAACCATAAACTGCAACCCATAAGTACAGAGCCATTGTCGATCTTAAAAATGAAGAAGCTATATAACTAAAGCCTTAGCTTCATCACGGCGTCAATGGAGCTTCAAGTTCAAGCAGCTCCCTTTAAGGCTTTCTTCAGCTCCTCCGTCACGTCCCTCTCCGCCGGATTCCTTTTCCCGCCATAATCCGACGTCGCCTTCTTCTCGTTGTTCCTCCGATCGACCCTCGAATTACCATCGCTCCTCTCCGATTCCCTGAACTTCGACGACCCGAAATCCATCGTCGCCGGAGAAAATGGCCGACCGTTTGATATCTCTCTCCGGAGATCCTCCACGGCTCTCTTTAGCTGCCCATTCTCCGATTGCAGCGCCTCTAGCTGCCGGTTGACGGCCAAGCACACCTCCGTCACGTCAGTATTTCCCCGCTGACCCGGACCCGGACCCGGACCCGAGACCTTACCCGGGTCGTTCGGGGGTTTGGATTCTTTGGCGATTGGGCCATCCACGTGTTCGATTCCTATTTTGTTCATCACCAGGAAAGGAAATCTCCGCAGAGAAATCTCAGCCGTTGGATCGAGATCGTGCCTGATCTCCAAAGGGACCCTAACCCCCCATCGGAAATTCAAGACGGCACGTCCTCTCACCGGTAGCGACGACCTCGCCGCTACTTCGACGCCGGAGATCAACCCGGCGATGTCTCCGGCAGTCGTGGACGGCAAAACCGTAACCTTTTTGAACGCGCCACCGCATCCGTTGACCGCCGGGGAATCAACCACCTCGATCGACGAATCCTCCTCCGACACGGCTCCATTGATCGATTTAATCAGATTCCGATCGAAGACGGACGAATACGATTTCTTGACAGAGAAATCGCCGAACTGGGGCTTAAAGTGAAGCATGAAGCTAGGATTCCCCTTGCCCAGAAGATTAAACTCGGCGCTCATGACCATGGAGCTCGAGATGGGCGAACCAAACGAGCCTGTCCCGGTCTTGACGATGAGAGAGAAAGGGTTCCACGTATCGTTGGGACGGTAGGCGATTTTGACAGCAGGCCCAGATTCGAAAAAGGTGGAAAGATTCAGACTGAGTTCCTTGGATTCTCCGGCGACAATCCCCGATTGAAACGGCAAACCCAAGATGCTCAGAGGCACTTTTGCTCTGAACAGAGGCTTCTGCTCGTCCCGGAACTTGAGCGACGCCTTCATCTTCTTCTCCAAAACCCAGACAAAAAGATGAGAAATTGAAAGAAAATTCAACCAATCCGATAAAATCCAAGTGGAGAGTGAAGTGAAAGAGTGGTGGGATTTGTACGAATTTCGGAGATTTCAAGCTTAATTATTTTTCAATCTTCGGCGCTTCTCTGGAATTAGGGATTTCGAAAGCTCAGGAGCAGGGTTATCATAATTTCCCATTTTGCCCATCGAACATATCGGAAAGTTCTAAAGGGGAATGATGCGGTTGGCATTTGCTGTAATTTTATCCAAATCCCGACGGCAAAAGATAAGCTCCGTCGATTGACCTATTATGAAAAATGAAAGGCGGAAAATCTCTTGGACCTTGGTGGCATGAATGGCGAGAAAATGGGCCGAAAGGCCCAAAAGCCCAAATAACTTACTAAACCCATAATTAACCCCATGGGCTCTTTGGCTGTTTCATATTCATAGAAGAGTGGCGATTGATTAGTCTAGATAAGGTCTGAGCATGTTGTACTTCAATAATCATATATATGAATGATTATTAGGTTGGTGAATGAGAGATTATATAATATGCTTTCTCACATTTGTCTTCTTGCCATGCCTCCCCCGTGGGGAACAACAGTTTTTTTAGTCGAGACTCGTTAACAATATGAACTCAATCATGCATTCATACATACATATGTAGATGTGTGTATGTGTGTGTATATACTCGCATGTACATATACATATATACATATATCATATATGTGTGTGTGCGTGTTCAAGTTCCAACAACTCCGGCGATGTTATGCCACTTTTTGTTTGTCCGGATCAGGAACCAGTGATTTGTGGAGATCATTTGTATGATTGGATATTTGATCATCTCTCACATTAATTCTAAAACAAATATCGGACCATAAGGGATTTTAAAATGTTTTGGAACATCCACTTTTGTTTTTGGATTAAAAAAGAAATCAAAATAAATAATATTTTATTTCGTATATTATTCGGTAACTGGATTAATAGTTTTTAGGTTTTCGGATTACCAAAATGAAAAAATGACATATTTTTATTTCATGAAACAAAAATTTAATTTCATCAAAGAATGATATGAAAAAGTAAAATAATCAGAATATTATTTTTATCATAAGAACTATTTAAAAAAAATTAAAATTTTCAAGTTTAAAATAGAGAGCGAATACTAGACAAAAACAAATCAAAACTGATAATTCCAGCTAAGCAGAAGTCCGGGGGACTGGGAACCACGTCAAAAGATTCTGGGACCCACATATCCATACGTCTAACGTGCAGACACGTGTCGACCATCTAGCGGCTTATTGCGTATGTGGGCCGCATCCTAAGAGGGCACGAGAGTCGTGTTTCGTCTGACGCAAGCCGTACAAAAACTAAATCCTTTTATCAAGTTCAGGTTGGGCTCTTTTCTGACCGTCAGATCTCACCTTCACGTGTACATCGGATGGCTGTCATACATCGGATCTTGTAGATGCCCTAATTAATATTGAATTTAGCTTTTTTTATATTTTATAGATATTAAACACAATATTATCTTATTTTCTTATATATCAAAATAGAATCAAATCAGATAAACAATATTTAACTATATTTTGAATCAAATAAATTAATTTTAAATCGAATTTTGACAGAATCTGCGAATAATTGTAAAAATATAAATCAAAACTAAAATTCTTTATAAAATGACATTAAAAAAATTAAAAAATATGAAATTAATAAAAAAAGATATAAAATTTAATGATTATAATTTTTCCCAAAAAATAAAATATAAAATAGATTAAATCGACCTGGAATATCTACTATCAACCACATTCCGCCCGCCCCTTAAATTTAGGCCCGTCTTTTTTGGGTAAATTTAAATTTAGATTTTGGCATAATAATAAGATTACAAATAGATTTGATTTGTGCAACGAAAACTTTTAAATAAATACATTGTATCCCTTATATATAATACATCACATTCCTAAAGTTTCTTGAGCACATTTTAATTTAACAAAATATCACAGGTGTTAGTTGTCTCCAGTTATTTTCTCTATATATAGTTGTCATACAGATAATGGAGATATATGTCAACTGGTATATATTCCAGGTCGCGGCTGGTTACTGAATTAATATACGTGCGAATTATATTCCAATATTATTTGAATAATGCATCTATCTTCTTATACTACCAAAACAATTAGTGTATAAAAAACTAACAATGCGATTTATATATCGCTATACGCATGTAGGTATACATATTAAAATCTAGCACATATATTGCATCATTTTTTATTTATTTTTCCGAAGTTATGAAGGTTTGACAGATCATCACATCATTAATCATTTTGTGCAAAATGTTATAAAATTGCTATAAAATATTTGAATAACTCTATAAACCCAACTTGTATCTTTATATTAAAAAGACAGTGCCTAGATTCTCGTATGGTGTATCATTTTTAAGCCGGCTATATATGTATATCGTGTATTTGTCATTTAACTATTCGTAGAAAGAGGCCGTTTATATTTTAGCATGTAAGCATCTATCAACATATATTTGTTGAAGAAATGGTTGTGGGATTCACTAAAAAAATGTAAAATAGTGAAGAAACAAAATGAAGCAATTATTAATGGGGAACAATGGCGTCACGAATTGCAACTGCCTCGTGTGGTTGCAGAAGAAGGACGTGGGTCACACACACGCATATATATATATATAGGTGTGTATGTATATATATCTATATATGTAAGGTATATGTTTGATAATAATGAATGTTAAAATCGCGGTTCCTTTGCTTTTGGATTCTACGATATATATCTATATATTGTACGTGTTTGATTCGATATCTAGCAAAAATCTCTATATGCCATTGAAATATTTATATGATAAAGTAGAAGATATTAGTCACCAATCATTCGCTACGATCCAAATCCTATATGCTTTTGTTAATAGTTTCATTAGAAATATAAGATATGGTATATATTAATGAACCTTTTAATTTTTAATATATTTTATTTAAATAACATTAGTATGTTTCTTTTTTTTTAAAAAATCAGCTGCATATACGTGAACACAAACACGTACAAATACATATATGCATGCGTATGTATATATTCATGTATCGTACATGTACAAGAAAAAGAAAAACAAATGGAAGAGGAGATCAGAACCAAGTCTGCCAAACTTCAAGATGTCGGAAACCATATGCATGCTTTAGAAATGAACTCCCATCGAGTGCAGTCGGCTTACTCTGTTTACTTTGTTTAATGTGTATGTATATATCATATAAGTGTGTGTGTGTGTATATATATATATATAGGCGTGTGAGTATGTAATATGCATAAAATATAATATGAAATATTAGAGAAATTCCAATATGATAATGATTTGTTGGTTAGTAGGAGGGGACCACATGGTGATGTCTCCATTAACGTTCGTGTTAATTTATTTCACGTTTTGGGAGACCAAGGGTTCTCGTGTCATATATTATAATGTAAACATATTTATATATATTTCAATTAATCCAATCATTAATTAATTGTGTTATTCTCTACAAACTGCCTGTCATTCTGATCTTTAATTTGTATATAAAATTGTCTATAGACCAATATAATTAACATCTCTATGCACATCCTAATTCTCACAACGAATTATATATAAATTTTAAAAAACTCTGTAATTGTAGAAATAATTATTGCAAGTCAGTGACAAAAAGTTTAAATCCAAAACAAGACTTTTGCATATCATTTTTCATCCTATATAGCCATACCAAACCTTTCTAACATAAAATTCACAAACTCTCTCTCTCTCTATCTATCTCCGTCTCTCTCTCTCTAAAATCGCATGAACCCTAATCTTGACATGGAAACCATCGTCGGCAAGAGAAGTTCAACCTTGGCCATGCACAAACAGTCAAGAACAATATCGAAATCGAAGCCCAAAATACGGATCATTCACATATTTGCTCCAGAGATCATAAAGACGGATGTTGCCAACTTCCGAGAACTCGTCCAAAGACTCACCGGAAAACCGGACGACTCCGACAGCCATCAACATATTCAAAATCATCAAAAGGGTCCGAAGAAGAGCCCCAGAGAAGATCATGATCAGCGTCGCCTTCATCATCATCAAGCCCACGCCATGAACAAAGACCCCGCCTTCGAACGCCTGTTTTACGCAAACGCAGGCGTAGAAGAAGGAAAAGATTATGACGACGAGGAAGATGATACGAGAACTTGGAATGGTAATGGCGAGAGCTCGGGAGGGTTCTTGAACGGCTTGGGAGATGTAGATGGGTTTATTCATGAACTCGGTGAATTTCCGTATTTGCCCTTCGCCATGGATCACGCTTCTTCCTCCTCCCAGTTTCATGGTGTTTTTGCAGAATCTCAGCAATTCGCATGATTGGAATTACTTGATTAGCTACATATATATTTTCATTTTGTTTTTGGGTTTGTCGGATGCTTTCCATTCTTTGGATGGAAGATTTGACCTTTGAGGGTTTGGTAACTCTGGTTTGATACAGGATTAGGAGGTTTGACGTTTATAATTTAAATCTATTAGGAGTTTGGTGTGTGATATATTGATAACTGTTCTATTTTATATGTTGAATATATATGTATAAGCTCATTTGCTTCTAAGGTTTGCATTTATGCTCGATGCTATACGAGATTGGCACAACAAGACATGTTTTGTTCTTGTGGAAACTAAGTTTTTTTTTTCCCATTTAGAGCTTTATGAACTCGATTTATTTTTTATTTTTTTTTATAACTAAGAAGGTTTCTCGGACCTTCGACCCGACTACATCCATCATAGGCATGAGACCAGTTTTTGTATATGGACCATTTTGGTCCAAAAATTACATTCCTCCCTACCAGTGGAATCGAACCAGGACCTTGAGTATGACTTTCACCTCTTAACCATTGGGTCACCAACTGTTGGGTCGAACTCGATTTATTGATGTGGAATGAACAATTATTTTCGGTTATAATTGGATTCCTTTATTTTGGTTTCGTTAAATGTATATATATTTGATTTGTATGTCGAGTTTTTTTAATTCGAATTTTGCTGTGATTCAGTTTTATTAAGAAAAATACTTTGTTTCCAAAGAAAAATCATTTTCATCATTTGGGTGATCGATTATTTTATATTTCATCGGAATTCGATTAAAGTTTAAAAAATTTATAACTTTTGATTCTCGCATTGATTGTAGATATTTTATTAGTTTCGATTTGATTTTCATATGTGGCTGCTTTAACTTATCTTCCAAACGTAAGTATGATTTGAATGTTAGTCCAAAAAAACAAAAATTGGGAGGGTCTTGATTTCTATCTTGACTCGATGTATAAAAAAAAAAACAGGATTGTAAATTCCAACTATAGTGAGACACATGCGAACTTCACCATATAAAAACAAGATAATATATATATATATATATATATATATATTATAAATAATATATAAAATTAATGGTCTGACAAGGAAATCTAGGTTGGACAAATGCCTAAAAAATTACGAACTTGAATGACTTCTAACACGGGAAAAAAAGAATGTCGAAACATGACACTATATTTTTAATAATATACAAATACCACATATATATATGCATCCGCAGACATGTAATGTACGTATGTATATGTTAAAAAAACGGCCTCTAGACAAATACAGACAAATGGAGGGAATTTACACCCATCGAATAATTCGTAATATCTGAGTCAAGGTCAACTTATTTTGTATTAAAAATGCGACTGTGATGAAGTTTTTGCGAAATTATAAATCAAACCCCTAAAAAATGCGACGAAGAGAACCCATTAGAATAACAGTCCATATAATACATCGTATCATGTCGCCAAGCCATCAAAGAAGAAGAAAACGACAAAAAAAAAAGACAGAAGAATAAAGGATAAATCGCCGAAAACAATAATGAACTTTATAATATTGTTGTGTAAATATAAGAACTTTTTAATTTATTTCAAAATACATAAATTTTTATAAATATTACCATAGACATTTGCAATGAAGTTTTTTTTTTTTTTTTTTTTTTTTTTTTTGTATATATATATATATATTATAAATAATATATAAAATTAATGGTCTGACAAGGAAATCTAGGTTGGACAAATGCCTAAAAAATTACGAACTTGAATGACTTCTAACACGGGAAAAAAAGAATGTCGAAACATGACACTATATTTTTAATAATATACAAATACCACATATATATATGCATCCGCAGACATGTAATGTACGTATGTATATGTTAAAAAAACGGCCTCTAGACAAATACAGACAAATGGAGGGAATTTACACCCATCGAATAATTCGTAATATCTGAGTCAAGGTCAACTTATTTTGTATTAAAAATGCGACTGTGATGAAGTTTTTGCGAAATTATAAATCAAACCCCTAAAAAATGCGACGAAGAGAACCCATTAGAATAACAGTCCATATAATACATCGTATCATGTCGCCAAGCCATCAAAGAAGAAGAAAACGACAAAAAAAAAAGACAGAAGAATAAAGGATAAATCGCCGAAAACAATAATGAACTTTATAATATTGTTGTGTAAATATAAGAACTTTTTAATTTATTTCAAAATACATAAATTTTTATAAATATTACCATAGACATTTGCAATGAAGTTTTTTTTTTTTTTTTTTTTGTTGTTTCTGAAATTTTCTCTCACGTGTGTTTGGGAAGAAAACGAGAATCTAAATGTAGATCGATTTTTAAGTTTCGAACCCATTACCTCTTACACGACAAGTTTGCCTCTCCATGAAATCGGCAGAAGAGAAGACCAAAGTTGAATACTTTTTCGGCTTCGGATGCTGGGTTTCCCGCCATCAGCTCCATGGAAATCGACTCCGAGAAAATTCTCCAGAGGAAGCAATCTTCTTATGAATCTCTGGTTAGAACCCAGTTTTTGTTTTTTTCCACTCCCTTAAGTCTCTACGATCTATCTCTTATCGCAGCAAGTGAAAAAGCCGGGACTTTCGGTGTTTCTTTGTGATTCCGTGTGCTAGGGTTTGTAATCTGATTCGATATTTTTTTTTGGTTCGAAGCAATCTTCTTATGAATCTCTGGTTAGAACCCAGTTTTTGTTTTTTCCACCCCCTTAAGTTTCTACGATCTATCCCGTATTGCAGCGAGTGAAGAAGCCAGGACTTTCGGCGTTTCTCTGTGATTCTGTGTGCTAGGGTTTGTAATCTGATTCGATTTTTTTTTTTTGTCTGTTCGAAGCAGGATGAGAGATTCGAGATACAAAAGGAGATGTATAGGGGGCAGCAATACAGCCAAATTTACTTTGCTCGTTTGCATCTGATGAGAACACTTCTTCATTCGCTTGTTCCTAACTGGAAGCCCCATTTGCCAGGTACCTCTCGTTGAGCTCCCCTCATCTCGATCTTCTGTTTTGATTGTGAAAAAGGAGCCCACTTTCAAGCATTTGCTTCGGCATCGGCTCTGCGTAATGGGTTGAATCAAATTTGTAATATTTCAGTGGTTGTAAGTGTCTAGATTTTAGGGTTTTAAATATCTGTTCCTGAAGCAGATTAATTACTGCGATTCTGTGCCAGTTATTACTGATTTTTGGGAGTTCAGATGTTTGGACCGTGGATTTGAGCATTGGAATCTCATTTTTGCTGTGTTCAGTTGCACTTTTAAGCCCTTTCGTTCGCATTTACTTCTTGTTATGCAGTTTGCACGGTTCTGGGAATCGAAAAAGGGAAAGAATGTGTCATTATTGGTACATTGTACAAGCACATGAAACTCAAACCTTGCATTCTTGATGAATACTCTAAAGAGGTTTGGTTTTCCATGGCTGCGTTTCATTCTTCCTCCCCATGGGGGTTTCCTCTCTCTATCTGGATTCTTGTGAAATGCCTTCAAATTTCTATGTTATGAACGATGCAGAGGTCGGCTACTCCACTCGTGAAACCTCATAACTTTATGCACCCGGATGATCATCTGGTTCTTGAAGATGAGAGTGGGAGAGTTAAGCTTGGTGGCACAGCACTTCCTCCTGCCGCTTATGTGACAGGTCTGACAAGTGAATTTTCTTCAACTCACTGATTTTCGTTTGTTCTTTACTGTCTCACTATTTTTCATGAAGTATAACACATGTTTGAGCTTTTCTGGGCCTCTTCTTGGATCATTGATGGAATACCATTATGGTTATCTGCATTAGAAGGCAAATTTTAGAGAAATGAGGATGTCGAAGTATCAGACCGTTGTAGCTTTTTGCCCTGACCTGGCTGAGTGTACATGGTAGGTGTTGTTGTTGCATTACATGGGAAGGAAACTAGTGCTGGCGAATTCTTTGTTGAAGATGTATTAGAAGCTGGCCTACCGCCGCAGGTAGAGCGGCCTCTTGATCTAAGTAAGTTGAATTATGTTCTCTTCCTTTTGCTATCACACTGGCAAGTGGAATTCTGCTTATTTATCATATTATTTATAAGCAATCTCTCAAAAAAACATTGAATTGTTCGGCAGATGAAGATAAATACGTTCTTCTTGTGTCGGGTTTGGGCATTGGAAGTAATTCGTCTAATCCTCTGCAATCTCAGCTTCTTGTTGATCATATAACCGGGCATCTTGGAGATGAGGAGGTTCAAATCTTTTGCTTTCTTGTTTCACACTATCTTTTTTGTTTGCTTTGGTGTAATTTCTTATGCTATCGGTTTGAACAGGAACAAGGCATTGCAGCACAGATAGTCCATGTCATAATTGCTGGAAATTCTGTTGAATTTCCTCGTAAACTCTTTAATGGACAGGTATCCTAATTGCGGTGTTTTCTCCATTGCTGCATTCATATGTTCTACTACTTGGCCCAACCATTATCATTGTTGGCTGCTTTTATAGAATTTGGCCTCGAAAGATCAATCAACACTGTCTGAACCCGTCAAGGAACTTGATATCTTGTTAGCTCAGGTAGATTCAATGGTACCACCTGTAACTTTGTCGATTCATGGGAGATTAAAAACCAATCGATACCTTTGTTCTTTCATAGATTGCAGCTGGAGTTTCAGTAGATATCATGCCAGGCCCAAATGACCCAGCAAACTTCTCCTTGCCTCAGCAGGTTTGCCCGGCAGAATTAACTGTCAAACTGACTTTATTTCCTCATCAGGGATTTTGTATCGAGAGATCTAATCAAAGGGTCGTTATTTTCTTCAGCCCTTGAACAGATGCCTTTTCCCTGGATCGGCAGCCTATAACACATTCAGATCCTGTACAAATCCTCACTCATTTGACCTCGATAATGCCAGGTACGCCACTATATATACCTAAAATGCTGGTTTTGAACGATTACACCTGGTTGGCAAAATCAGTGTGAAGCATTTAGAGTCGACCATGCAGATTTCTCGGAACTTCGGGACAGAATGTAGATGATCTTGACAAGTATTCAGAGGCCAAGGATAAGCTCGAGTTTATGGAGAGGACACTGAAATGGAGGCACCTGGCTCCTACAGCACCTAATACACTTGGTTAGAGTGATCTCTCTTGCTGTTCAACTCTCAAAACTACTAATATATTTTTCTTGTCTTCTTATATGATTGTGAATCTTTCCTCCAGGTTGCTACCCTTTTACCGACAGAGACCCTTTCTTGATCGAGAGCTGCCCTCATGTTTACTTCATTGGAAACCAAGTTAAATTCGGGACTTGTTTGTTAAAGGGTATGACTTTTCGAGAGAAAAAGAAAAAGAAGATACTTACTGATTCTGTATTCAGACAACCTTAAGTCGAGTAAATATTCCTTTGTGAACACACAGGGTCAGAAGGGCAGGCGGTGCGACTAATCTGCATTCCCAAGTTTTGTGAGACGGGAGTCGCTGTTGCGGTGAGTAGAGGAGAAAACGTCTTCATTCTTAGCCAGTTCTATTGGATCGTACATTGCGAATATGCTGAAGCTATACCTCGCTGGAACGTTTATCTTTGCAGGTGAACCTGAGGAATCTGGAATGCCATACAGTTAGTTTCGGTACTCAGATTTAACTGAAATGTATCTCCAGGGTTCTTCTTTCTCACTGAAAACCATCTCAGTTCTTGAAGTGAAAGGATTGAGCTTATCATGTAACAAAATGGCGACATATCTCCAAATATTTCATAAGGGTTTTTGAACTTCTGATCTCAGAAGTTTGCCTTGTCTTCATGTGAATGTTTGTAGGTTGAATGTGGAACAATTAATGGAGAAAAATCCATAAGAACAATGATAGTAGAGGGTAGTTATACAATGGAAAGAATACTCACAAACGAAATTGTAAAAAAACAAAAAAGCAACCACTTGGTATTATAATGCAAAATCCTCAACAAGCCGAACGTGTATGCATATATGTATGTATAGATTATTAGAAGCATTTCCTGTGGACAATCGACGGTCCGGATTCATCGTACTCGGCCTTGGCTATCCACATCTGCACAAACACAAAATTCTCAATCAGAGAGTTTTTCATAATTAACCAAAAGCAAGTTCCAAAGAACAAGGTAGTTGTGTTGTGTTATGTTTTTAACCTGTTGGAAAGTGCTGAGGGATGCCAGAATGGATCCTCCGATCCAGACACTGTACTTCCTCTCAGGCGGAGCCACCACCTTTATCTTCATGCTGCTCGGGGCGAGAGCCGTTATCTCCTTGCTCATCCTGTCTGCTATGCCCGGGAACATCGTCGTTCCTCCACTCAGCACAATGTTTCCGTATAGATCCTTCCTGATGTCCACATCACACTTCATGATCGAGTTGTAGGTCGTTTCGTGGATACCTGCTGCTTCCATCCCAATGAACGACGGCTGGAACAGAACTTCCGGGCAGCGGAATCTCTCTGCCCCTATGGTAATGACCTGACCGTCGGGCAGCTCGTAGCTCTTCTCCACGGCTGAGCTTGTCTTGGCCGTCTCCATCTCTTGCTCGTAGTCCACTGCTATGTAGGAGAGTTTCTCCTTCATGTCTCTGACAATCTCACGCTCGGCTGTGGTGGTAAAGGAGTAACCACGTTCCGTCAAGATTTTCATGAGGTAGTCTGTGAGGTCACGTCCTGCGAGGTCCAGACGCAGGATAGCGTGTGGGAGGGCGTAACCTTCGTAGATGGGAACCGTGTGACTCACTCCATCTCCTGAGTCCAAGACGATACCTGAAACAAGACAAGAGAAACGAAACATCATGAAACCATGTTGTTCTACAAACATCCCTAAAGCACTAAGATTTAATATCCAAGAATCCTTGTTCAGACAACCATCATGTACTCCGCAATAGAAGAAATGACGGGTATTGCTACTTACCCGTGGTTCGGCCACTGGCGTAGAGAGAGAGAACGGCCTGAATAGCAACATACATAGCAGGAGTGTTGAAGGTCTCAAACATGATCTGGGTCATCTTCTCACGATTTGCCTTGGGATTGAGAGGAGCTTCCGTGAGAAGGACAGGGTGTTCCTCCGGCGCAACACGAAGCTCATTGTAGAAAGTGTGATGCCAAATCTTCTCCATGTCATCCCAGTTGCTAACGATACCGTGCTCAATCGGGTATTTAAGAGTAAGAATACCTCTCTTGGACTGTGCTTCATCACCCACATAGGCATCCTTCTGACCCATTCCGACCATCACTCCAGTGTGGCGAGGGCGACCAACTATACTTGGGAAGACGGCCCTTGGGGCATCATCTCCAGCAAATCCTGCCTGAGAAATGCACCACCTTTCATTATAAGTGCACTCCAAAATACCAATCTCGGTTCTTTGATCCAAATTTACAGATTTAGAGTGTTTCTTTTCCGTACCTTGACCATTCCAGTTCCATTGTCACAGACGAGAGGCTGGATATCCTCGGATTCCGCCATTTTCTAATGCCTGCAGCAATAATCAAACAGATAATCTTTGACCAAGTCTTCCAAATAAAATCTCGAGTTCACAGTAAATGCATCACCAAAGAGGTTCATTTGCAGAACCAAATCGATAGAATGTGAGCAAAAAGCCACTCCTGACTATTCCCGATTAACCATTTTGATTAAACATATAGCCGCAGCTTCTCTTTCATTAAAACACAACACGCATTCTAGGATCGGGTCTAAATGAAAAGCTCGGAAAAGCCCAGATAACAACATCGAAAAAAAATGTAATCGGTGCTCACTAATTCAAATTTGAAACGAGAAAGAAATCGTTAAAGTTCAAAATCATGAATCACGCAGGCTAAACTCAAAATCCAGAATCACTAGACTGATCCCGGATTACGAGGGGGAAAAAACGAATCAGAACCTGAGATCTGAAATGCGCGAACGATGATCTAATATCCAAACTGGTTTCTAAGAAGGAAGACGATCCAAACTCCAGAAAACAGCAAAACAAATCGATTTTGCCCGATTCCTACGATCTTCGACGATTGTAGAATACGAGCAAGGCATCAAAATAGAGAGAGAGAGAGAGAGAATCGAATATTCACCTTCAAAGAATCGATTGGTTTCTTCTCGCTCCTCGCTAGCAGAGAGCCTCAATGGCCTTTAAAGAGAAGCTACCGCTCTTTGTTTTTTAAAAAAGGGGAAACGAGAGAGAGGATCTGAAATTAGTAATGTGGATTGTCAATTTCTAAATAAAGCATATTTTTTTTCTAATGATCCTAATTTTTTTATTTTAAATCGAAGGACAAAAATCCAGCTCAGCATTAAAGCCTCCAACACTCTGGACAGCGTGTCGAGTTGTATATTCCTCTGCAGACGTTCGTACCAAAACTCGTGTGGTCTCACTGTTTTCACCTCTCGATCAAACCCAGTCAAATAATCGGACGGTGACAAGATCGTGTAAGATATCAAATACGTGCGCGGCATATAACCATCGGCAACGTGGTCGCTCGTATATATCGGCGACATGACACCACTATTTTACCTCCCCAAATATTTCATAAATGATTCCATAATACTTTTATTCTATATGAATTTATACATATATATATATATAGGGTGCTTTAATCAAAATTATCTAACATGATTAGAGGAAGGGATTAACGAACGTAATTGTTGGACAAAGCTTGTGACTATTTTATTAATTTATTTTACAGGTCATTATTCCTCACTCACGTACCCACCACCAATTATTAGCTCTTTACAGTTAACTTTAAAAAAAATAAAGGGAGTTTAATTTTAAATTTTGAACAAAAAATAAAATTATAAAATGAAATGGTGAAAAATGAAAATGCACGGGGAATCTTCACGAAAAAAATGTATTTCAATTAGGTAATATTTATCTCAGTTTTGCTTTGGTCGCCGCGAGATCTTTACTGTATACCGGTTCTGTGGTTTGGTTAAATCATCTAATAGGAATACCGGAGTGAATCGTATTAAACCGGCTTTGTGTCAGGTGATTGAACTGGATAGAATAGAATCTTGAAATAAAGATTGGCATTTGGATAAAGATGCGACCTTGATTCTTCAAAGATAACCAGCTTTTCACTGTGAATTGCGGTGGATGATAAATCTGTTTGATTTGGTTTACAATTTACTGAGAATTGTTAGTTGTGAATACCAAACTTTGGTCAAAGCATACGAACAAACAATCAATCAAAATCCTTCGAACAGAGAGATTGGCCAACGAGAATTTGCGATCGACCACGAAGCAATCGACGAAGTCGCGACAAAACCCTGGTCCTGTTTCAGAATCTGGTTTTGGAAAAATCCCAGATTTGTCTCTGAAACAGCTTACGTATAATGCTCAAAGCTATCCAGATTCTGGGCTCGTCGTCTGGATTTATCATCTCTCAGGGATTGACGAAGAAGACCCGCAAGTCCGCCGGCGTTTCTTTCATCTCTTCGTCGGCGAACCCTCTAAATTTCTCGGCTTTTCCCTCTGTTATCTGCGCTTCGAACTCGCCTGTCCCACCCTTTCTCTCGGCTCGGAGAATCCGCTGTTTGGGTCAAAATCAGATGTCCTCGACGCGTTCGGAGCCCGACCCAGTTTCCAATTCCTCGGCCTCTGCGTCTGTTCAATCAGCTGTAAGTTTGATCTCCTGAAGGTTTAGGCTTTCGGTTCAGTTTTGTCGTCTCTCTCTCTCTCTTACCCGTGTCTCAACGCAGAATGGACAGAGGATATGATACTGATTCATAACTTATACATGTGTGTATACAAGAGATCTGGGCATGCGTTTCTTCGAGTTCACTGATGAAGCATATGGTGTTTTGTGTTGAAGGGAGATGTCCGTAAGATCAAATACTGTCAATGGTGTGGTGGTCAGACGAAGCACGAGATACCTGACGGGGAGGAGAAGTTGCGAGCCATTTGCACACATTGCAGCAAAATTGCCTACCAAAACCCTAAGATGGTAATATCTCTTCATCTCAATTTCAATCACTGTATAGACATTTTCCTTGGTGGGGGGTTTTACAGTGATTTTGTTCACTTGCTGGAGAATCTGACTGAACTTAACTGTTTAAGTATTAAACTCTTTGTTCAAGTCCAAGATCTGCTTACTTGCCCTGTTTTGTCAGCACTTTGTTTCAAGAAGGTTACATATATGTACCTGCAGGTTGTAGGTTGCCTTATAGAACATGAACAGAAGGTCTTACTCTGCAAACGTAACATTCAACCTTCATTTGGTCTTTGGTATGCAAAAAAAAAAGAAAATCTTCATATCATCTTTATCCGTATCTTGAACAGGAAGTTCATGATAGATGATGATGATGATGATGATGATGATGATGTGTGGACACAGGACTCTTCCTGCGGGATACTTGGAAATCGGGGAATCAGCTTTGGATGGAGCGGTGAGGGAAACGTGGGAAGAAGCAGGAGCCGAAGTTGAAGTTGTATCACCTTTTGCACAACTCGACATTCCTCTTATCGGCCAAGTAAGACAGAAATGGCTGATCTCATTGCTGAATATATATATATACACACAATATGGCTTACTAATATTTGGAGACAGACTTATGTTATATTCTTAGCAAAGCTGAAGAGTCCACATTTTGCGCCTGGTCCCGAGTCATCAGAGTGTCGTCTCTTTGCGTTGGACGAGATACCATTTGATTCTCTATCGTTTTCATCGATTTTTGTTACCTTAAATTTGGTAAGAATGGGGACAGGATGAAAGAAAACTCACGATTTTCGCACAATCCGTGCTTACAGATATGTTTTTTTGCAGTACTTGGAAGATGTCAAAAATGGAGGAATTAAGTTTCACTATGGTACCATCAATAAAAGGTGCATCTCCGTGCTCGGACCGACGATTGTTACCAGTTCATGCCTTCACACTTGTGCTTTAAATCGACGTTTCTTATCACGATTTGCTCGTTTTCAGGGCCGGGAGTAGTCCTTCAGATATCCGGGCCTTCACTCTTGACTACCATTTGCAGTCATAACTCGAGGTTTGAAATTCATTTCCCCTTTATAGTTATGCATTGGAGAACGATTAAGATTCTTTCTTGAAAAAGATCTTTCAATGACGAAATCCTTATGGAATCTGGAGAGGTCCCCCTCTGGAATTTGCTCAGGGGCCTAAATGACCTTCTTGAAATGGCGGATTCGAAGCTCTAGCAGACAAAACATGACGATGATCCTTGTTGGTTCTGAATCTGTTTGGCGTTTCAGGGCATGCTTGTGCGGCTATTGATCATGCATACATGTTTTGTCTGATATTTCAGACTTGTTCTAATTATTTAGTTTTTTTTATACATTCACTGAATTAGTTGCCATAATAATACTCTGTTTTTTTGTTGTATATCCTCACATTGTCATATATGATCATATCTTGATCTGCAAACTCACTTATCACCACCACCATAGTGATCTGTTGTCGAAGTTATCTCCGCACCAGAAGTTTGAACAAGCAGACTGCTTATGGAGCGAGCCTTCACCACCATCCCAAGCTTCGCCCTCTTCTTCGTGATCTCTTTCTTCTTTGCATGCCCTTTTCTGCTTCTAAGTCTCCCTTTCCCTAAATGATGCTGACACAGAGAATAGCCTTGTCTCGTCTGCTGACAGCACCTCCATCCTCTCCCGTTCACGCGGCTACACCTCGATCCTTCAGCCAATGAAGAAGCGCCTCTACCTTTCTTCCGTCCCCTTGATGGCGCCATACCTGCATGCTCGGCTTCTGCTTTCTTGATATCTCCCACGTGTTTCTTCATCTTCGTCTCCTCGCTAACGCTTGCCCTGCAGGCTTTGGTTTTGCTGTTGTTCTCCTCAGAGCTCGTGCCTCTTCTCCTCTTCAAAGGAACAACCTTTTGCCCCTCTGTACACACACATAGAATCAGGTGCGACCAGTGAACAAAACCCAATGCACCGCATATAGATACATAATCTTCCCCACAAACTATAAATTGCTCATTGCTATGCTCTATCTGTTTACCATTTTTGCTTACCTTGCTGCGGTGGAGAGCCTGATTCGAGCGAGGGGTTCCCGGAAGCTGTTTCTGGATCCGGACCAACGTTCTCGCTACCCGACAGAAGCAAAACGATACGCAAGACTTGATTAATTAGGATGATAATGAGAGATTCGTGAGTTAAAAAAAAATCAGAGCACCATGTGTATATCGATATGGGAATGTGCACCACTGTGAGCTGTGTATATACATATATATCTACTTTGTATTTATACTCGTATGTATATATGCCAAATGGGTAGATCTAGAGGGCAAGATAACCACGTGATAACAAAAAAAAAAAAGGCAATAGCTTGAAGCTATGGCACTCCAGATTCATCGCGTCCTGAATAATTGGAAGGAAGCGTCGATGCTTACATACATAAAGCAGTGTCCATAACCCTCAAAAGCACGAAGTCTTCGAACTTCTAGCCGTTTTCCTTTTATGGGTTTACATCAAAATTTCATCTTTTTTCATAAAGCTTGATTTTTTTTTTCTTTCAAGAGAACAGACTTTATCTAAAACTTTGTTATTGCAGCGTAAAGATCAACATGAAAGGAGAAGACTTTCAAGTGGAAAACATAATTGAATCAGATGTTCACTCACCTCCCCACTTCTTCTTCACTCTCTTCTCCTTCTCCAAACATTGTATTGTCCTTTGGACAAATCATCAGGAAAGACAAAAGACACAAAACGAATGAAAATTCTGCAGAGAAATCGGACAGGTTTTTCCCCCCATCAGTTTGAAACAAAAGAATGATCTTACTCAACACAAGTGCGCGCGGTCGAAAACTGTTTTTTTTCTTTAAGTAACAACAAGAAAGAATTAAAAAAAGCAAGACAACGAAGAATGAGTTGTGTATCTCTTTAGTTCCGTGTTACTAACCAAAGCCGCCTTCTCCTCCTCATTCAGATCCTTCTCATCGTCATCATGGGCTCCATGATCAGAAAAATCAACGCCCCACCGTCGGATCAGCTCATCAGAAACATCTGACGGCGGATGAGGAGGAGGAACGCCTATACCGCCATCACCCTCGTCGCCGTCGGTGGTGGCCGGTGAGCGGTTGAAGTAGAGATCTGAGAGAGGGACCGGTAACAGAGACGACAAAGGAAGAGGGACTTGTCGTTTCCGGATCCTCATGGTACGAACACACGCACACAATGGAAGATTCCTTCGAATCTCGTGACTTTTGCACGGATTGGGTATAAACCCAGATAACAAGAGGAGGGAATTCAGTGAGGGATAGGGGAAAAAAAGATTTTTTTTTTTCTTTCGCTATGGTTGCGTATGATTTTTTTTCTCTCAAGCTCATGTCTCTCTCTAACTTTTTTATTTTGTTCCACCCAAAAAAGTTTTAAAATTATAATTAATAAAATGATATTATTATGGAAAAAATAGTTTAATGTTCTTAACCACACTCTTCATGTTCTTTCATATTTGTACCCCATATATTTAAATTTGTCATTTAGACCCCTTTTCATCTTTTTTTTTATAAATAAGATTATCACCCCAAGACTATCAGCAACCAGAAACTTAGACAGTAGCGATGGAGGAGAGGTAAAAGCAGACGTTCATAATGGAAGAGTGTGACATGTAGATGCTAAGAAATCTGTGTACGAGTTAGCTTCCCGATAAATATGATAGATTGATACCTCCCATTGTTTGGCTAATAGAGTACGGATTGCTTTGAGGAGATTCCCATCTATCGTGTTCGTATCCTTTTGATTATTGATTGCGTCCACCAAAGATTTGCTATCAATTTCCACCAGAATTTTTCGATATCCACTCTGCCATGCTAGCCGCAAGCCGATTAGAACCCCCAGGTCTCTGCTCTAAAGATTGAGCATATACCAAATTTCGAGGTGAAACCAATAGACCAGTTTAATGTTCCCGTAATGATCCCTAATAAGGCCTCCACACGCAGCAGAGGTCGGGTTTCCTCACACTACCATCCGAATTCAGTTTCCAAACATCCGGAGGGGGTGATAACATTTTCATCTCTTTAGAGAAACCAGACCGGTGATGTTCTTTGAAAGATACAAATGAATTGGCTTACAACCTTTTTGTAGAAATCATTTAATAAATATGGATTGAAACCTCTCTATCTCCATCTTATCGACTGATATCGTTTAATTAAAACAAAAATCTATTCTATTTTTATACCATTTATCATTAATCATTATTATTTTTAAAAAATAATCAGATTGAGAAACCCACCGTACGAATATTCTTATAATTCGACTCTTAATCATTGTTAAATTTCATAACGGATTGATTTATGATTTGTAGGATTGAATGTTGGTCAAAATGTGGGGTCCATATGACTGTAGCGTTGACAGGAGCCGTCCGATTAATGTCTTAACGGAGGATAGAATTCGTTAGCGTAGTCGGTACTGTACGGGATTCCTACCTTCTCTTCCTCTCTCTCTCCTCTCTCTTGTCTCCGATTCATCGTTCTCACTCGCCATTCGTCGAGATTTGATCGTATGGAAGAGGGCGCGTTCCATGACGAGTCCACACGTTTGCGGCTCGATTAGAATCGGAGCGTCGGCTAGTTCAGGAGCTCCGAGCTGCTCTCTCCCGTGAGTTGATCGTCAATACAAAGTCGTCTGTTTTTTTTTATACCACTTCCTCCATTCGTAATTGTTCTCTCTCCGGCTCTGGATTTTTGCTGCGATTTTGCAAAATTTGGTCCAGTTCGGGTTTTCTGCGATAATTTTGTTGATTCGAGGTTACCCTCTTGGTAACAAGCAAGCTCTAGGGTTTTCCTCAATCGGAGATTCAATTCCGTTGCGGGTTTCTCATAAGAGATGTGCGAATTAGGGTTTTCTGATTGGGGGTTTCCTGATTATGCTGCGGAAAGGAGTGTTGGAGATCCGGATTTTACCCAATAATGGAATGACTATGGTTGTTCGTCTGGGAAATACTAGGGTTAATTTATCCTGTTTCTAATTTTTCTGGAGAAGTAAATTTAGGTTACCGAAGTCGTGATGGGTGAGGAGATATCGGACACGATGAACCTGGATTTGAATCTGGGTCCTGGTCCTGAGTCTGGACTACAGACGGCGCCGAACGATGTTGTGAGTTTGGCTGATTGGATCAGCGAGTCTTCTGAGAGGGCCTCCGAAGCTGTGACAAGGATTAGGACACGGCATCGGTCGCTATTCAGACAGCTCAATCTTCCTATTCTTGCCGAGACTCAGAGCCTGGCGATAGAACTGAACCAACTGATGGGCAGTTCTGCAAATGGAGCCGCCTTGCTGACTGGTGAGGGCAGTATTGCCGCTGAGGCAAGAGGCAACGGGGACTCGAAAACATGCGAGATTGGGAACGGAGTGATGGAGAACAGTGGGTCGGAGAAGAAAGGCGATATCGAGAAGAGCAATGGCAGTGATGGGAGTTTTTTCGACTGTAACATATGTTTGGACTTGGCAAAGGAACCGGTTGTCACTTGTTGTGGACACCTTTTCTGCTGGCCGTGCCTTTACCAGTGGCTGCAAATCTCAGATGCAAAGGAATGCCCTGTTTGCAAAGGGGAGGTGACTCAGAAAACCGTGACACCGATTTATGGTCGAGGAAACCATAGAAGAGAATCTGAAGAAAACCCAGATACTAAAATCCCGATGAGACCTCATGCCCGTCGCTTTGAGAGTTTGAGGCAAACTCTTCAAAGGTCACCTTTTACGATACCGATGGAAGAGATGATTAGACGTATACAAAGTAGGTTTGACAGGGATTCTTCCTCGATACCGGATTTTAGTAACCGTGAAGCATCAGAAAGAGTGCATGAGCGTGCAAGTTCAATTCTTAACCGGTTTATGACTTCAAGAGGAGTTAGAGAAGAACAGAACCCGGCTAGTGTTGCCTCGGCTGCTGCTGTAGCTGCAGCATCAGATGAAATTGATCTCACCCCGAACATAGCCCCTGACCTTGAAGGAGAGACCCCGAGGTTCCATCCTCTGTTGATCAGGAGACAGTTGCAATCACACAGAGTTGCGAGAATCTCTCCGTTCTCGTCTGCATTCGGTTCAGTGGTCGATTCATATGTCAGAAATCATCCCTCGGGGAGAAACCAAGAGCAGAACCCTCCTGTGGTTGATGACAGAGATTCTTTCTCAAGCATAGCAGCTGTCATAAACTCGGAGAGTCAGCTTGATGCAGTGGAGATTGATTCTATGGCCCTTTCGACTTCATCTTCGAGAAGAAGGAACGAGAACACATCGAGGGTTTCTGATGTAGACAGTGTAGATTCTCGCCCACCGAGGAGGAGGAGGTTGGCCTAGAAGACATTCATGACAGCAACCTTCACTCGTTAAGACATGCGAGATGGCTGATGGTTGTTGAGACGTGGAGGCTTGGGGGTTGATTTCTCGATTGATCAAATTCAAGACAGAATCCGATTATGAAAGATTGTAACTTTTCTTTTTTTTGCTTTCCCGTTTTGGTGTTAATGTCTGTACGTGTAGTGATGTTCTTTGAAAGATACAAATGAATTGGCTTACAACCTTTTTGTAGAAATCATTTAATAAATATGGATTGAAACCTCTCTATCTCCATCTTATCGACTGATATCGTTTAATTAAAACAAAAATCTATTCTATTTTTATACCATTTATCATTAATCATTATTATTTTTAAAAAATAGTTTTTCAATCCATGTTGTGGGATATCATCAAATGCGGTGTAACTGTTATGTACGAAAAAACATATTTATGATTAGAGGATTAATTAAATCAAACAAGTCGCTTTGGCCGAGTGGTTAAGGCGTGTGCCTGCTAAGTACATGGGGTTTCCCCGCGAGAGTTCGAATCTCTCAGGCGACGTTCACTTTTTTATTTTTATTTTATAAATGTTCGTTTCGATGTACTCATTTTTCATTTTTTTTTGTCAGCTAATGAAGAGATATTAGCTTTAATCAAAATATACAAATATTTTAATTTTTTATATTCTGTATTTGCTTCCCTGTAAAATGTCATAACAACCTCTTTAGAAAGTGATGTCACAAAATACAAAAAAAAAAAAAAAAAAAACCTTTGCACCAAATCTAAACGTTTTAAAAGAGGAAGATTCCCGTATAATGGTAAAACCAATTTTGCATAAACTGTTTTGTTTAGAGTTAATGTGCAATTTTCTCCCTTTGGCTTCTAATTGAAGAATTATTCAGAAAACAACGACGGCGAAATTTCACGAAATATAAAACGTCAACGTTAGGTTTGGAAATTTAAAACCATGATGAAAAAAAGTCTTTGTTCTTTCACTTATTATGGGTCGTAAAAAAATTCTTCACATTTTTTTTATATGAAAAAAAAATTCAAATGGGTAGTGCGGGGGAAGCCATAAAACATTTTATCGCCTATAAAAAAATATATATTTATATATACACAACACACACGCACAAAGAAATGCTATTGGATGCTTCAAAAGCTAATTAAAACTATTTAATTTTACACGCAGATTTTTATCTATACATTAAGAGGCTTCTTTTTTTTTTGTGGATTTTGTCTCATCTTATATTATATAATACCATGTCTGTCTAAAAAATTGTATAACCTTTAACAAAAAAAAAAAAAATTGTATAACGCCATATCTTCACCTAATATCTTCTGCTTAGGTATGCATTGTCATAAACATTACATATGATCCAATCATTTAAATAAATGGATCGATTAGCAAAAACTACGAATTATAGAAGATTAAAAAATCTCCCCTAAGATTACATTTTTATTAATAAATTATTATGGAGATTGTCCAAATAATTATGTTTTTTTAAACGAAGATGAAAAAAAAAAGAGAGCACCAAAAGTAAAACAACTATGTGAAATTGTGATTCGTGTGTTTTAAAAGTGGCATAAAAGACAAAACAGAGGCCACCATTAATGGCTTTCACCGATACGAACAAGACAGGACACAACCAAACAATCTCCGTCTCCTTCCTCCTGTAACCTTGTCTCTGTGTAAATCCCCGTTTGTTCGTCCGAAGCCTCGATTCTCGTTCGCTCTTTTGCTGAATCTGCTGTTTTTTGTGGAAATCTCAAAGCAATATCTGTAAAAACAGTTACCCAACGCCGAGCCTGGGAATTTTTGTCGGGTAAGCCCGTTAATTTTCTTCTGGGTTTGAACTTTTTCACTCTTCGGATGCGAAATCAGGTATTGTAGATCGATTAGAGTTCCCGAGCCCGCGGAAACGAGAAATGGGTTTTCGTTTTCTGTGTTGGGTTTTCTCGTCTGGTGCTCAATCTGACATCAGGGTTCATCGTGCGACGAATCTAGCTTGTGTTTTCTGGAAACATGTTTCGTAAGATGAAATCTTTTCGGGCTTCGATGAAATGGGTTTTGTTCCCTTTCTCTGTTTTGTCTTGACTTTTCTCGATTCCTCAGACTACTTGTTTCTAGAAAAGATTCCGTTGATTCCTTCCTCGTTGTTCCTTGCAGGGAAGTTTCCCCTAATTTTACTGGCCAAATTTTGAAATCCTCTGTAGTTCTGGTAGTGGGTATGCATATGGAAGATAGTTTCTTCAGATTTCAGCTTGAACTTGGTTTTAATCAGCTCTTTCAATCCTTTTTTTTTTTTGGTGCATGATAGTTTAAGGTTGTGCAGTTGCAAGTGCTGAAACTAATCCCTAAGAAATCTGCCATGGATGTGTTCTTTGGTTCAGATAGGAACCAAGGTTGATTTTCTTGTGCTTGGAAAGGTAGTAGATTACCTTTACAAGAAAACCAAGTTATCATTGTGACATTGACCCTTTTCGATGGAATTATCATCAGATTCAGAAGGGAATGATTTGAGGCTACCAGATCTGTTGCATCACCTACTTTTCCCCATTTGTGTGAATAAAGTGACACCTATTCGCCTGTGTTTGATGTATCCAGATTTAGCTATCGCCTGCTTTCTTTCCATTAGGAGGTTCTGGATTGGCTTTGTGTAATTTTATAAGCTTACATTGCGTGATCGTATCTTTTCTTGCAGAAGGACAAGGATCTAAGGCAGGACATCATCTGAGACTGGTTAAACTAGAGAGGGTTTGGTTTATTGATTCCCAGAACTATCATAAGGTTTGGACCCACTATGGCTCCTGGAGGCAGTGCTTTGAAAGAAGTCCTCGAGTCTAACTCAATGGCCATGGACTCTGATGTTAAGATGGCGAAAATGGAGGCTCATGGTAAACCGGCAAAGTCGGGTAGTGCTGGCGGTGGAAAACACGGTATTCATTCTAACAATGGTGTGTATGAGCTCCTCGAGTGTCCCGTGTGTACAAATTTGATGTACCCTCCAATCCATCAGGTGTGTCTCGTTGTTTGTTCTCGATAATCATTTGATTGCTATTCGTAGTATTCCAGAAATATAGAGCTTTTATTTACGGGAACAAAGCCGGGCATTAACTTGTGCTTCGTCTTCAGTTTTTCTCTGAATGATCTATTTTCCTTTGCCGCAACGTTTTTGATGAATTTAGTGACGGTGATGTTTAACTTGTTAACTTATCTAGATTTTGGTAAAAACATCGTTTTTTTTTATCGGTTTCTTTGTTTTTCTTCCCTCTTTTCCGTGTTAGACGTGAGCCATCCTAATGTTATCATGCTTCTTTTTTGCAGTGCCCAAATGGCCACACATTATGTTCAAACTGCAAAATCAGAGTGCAGAACTTGTGCCCGACATGCCACTCTGAGCTAGGAAACATAAGGTGTCTGGCTCTTGAGAAGGTTGCAGAATCATTGGAAGTTTCTTGCCGGTTCCAAAGTTTAGGCTGTCAAGACATTTTCCCTTACTACAGCAAGCTCAAACACGAGCAGCATTGCAGGTTCCGGCCTTACAACTGCCCTTATGCTGGCTCTGAGTGTTCAGTCACCGGTGATATCCCGACACTCGTTTCCCATCTCAAAGATGATCATAAGGTTGATATGCATGATGGATGCACCTTCAACCACCGTTATGTCAAGGCTAATCCGCATGAGGTCGAAAATGCTACCTGGATGCTTACGGTAAATCTAAAAATTTACGTTTTCTTGTTCGTTTCAGCTTGCTGCAGTTTCTTTTATCTGCTTGGGGTTTAAAGGAATGCAAATAGCAGCTCGGTTCTTAAATCTCTATATCAAATTGCATCAGGTCTTCAACTGCTTTGGAAGACAGTTCTGCTTACACTTTGAGGCATTCCAGCTTGGGATGGCCCCGGTGTACATGGCGTTCTTACGCTTCATGGGAGATGAGAACGAAGCGAAGAAATTCAGCTACAGCTTGGAAGTCGGTGGAAACGGGCGTAAACTGACATGGCAAGGGATTCCCAGAAGCATTCGAGATAGTCACAGGAAAGTCCGGGACAGCCAGGACGGCCTGATTATACCAAGGAACTTGGCATTGTATTTCTCAGGCAGTGACAGGCAAGAACTCAAGTTGAGAGTCACTGGTCGGATATGGAAGGAAGAGTAAGCTGATTCGTACTGTCCATTGGAAAAACACACTGATGATTGGTCAAAAACCCGGCAATTCTCCAAAAAAAAAAACGATCTTGAGATCTGCTGCTGATAACTGGGGGCGAAATTGTCTGGTTTTCGATATTCAAACTCTGCTTTGGCCGAGAGATCTTCTTCCATGATCATGTTGGTCGCTCAAGGATCAGTGAAGGAAGAGCCAGCCATTGTGTACTACTTTTGTGGTTGCAAGCGATGATGTCTCAGTAATCTTTTCAGGTTCAGACATGAACTTGAAGGAAAAAAAAAAGACACGATTTTTTTTGGTTCTGTTCTTGATGTAAAAACCCATGTTGAATCGAATTGATGGTTGATGTCTGAATCGAGATTCTGATTTTCAAACCATTGTTCATAAGCTTTTCTTGGTGTTCATTTGCTCACTAAATCTTCGTCTGTAATTATTGAAGATCCATTTTTTTCGTATGATTTATGTTTCAAGATCTACTAAAATAATATTTTTCTATTGATATATATATATATATATATATCAAGCTCTTAAAGAACCGAAGTATGTTTGCCATGAAACTCTGCACGATTACAAGGTTCCATGATAATAATAATAATAACAATAATGATAATGATGATGATGATGATGATTATGATTGGGAGAACGTGCAGACGTGAAGGGCATATACATTGGTTGGTTTGGTTAATGATCGGTTAAATAGCAAAAATATCAACAAAATAAATTAAGTGTTTTGGCTTCCTATTTTCCCGCGGAACAGAGCAACAGAGTCTTTGCGAAAAAAAAAAAAAAAAAATTAATCTCCAAAATAAGAAGGAAAAAGAAACAAGAAAACAAGACACGCATCTCTCCTCTCTCTTCATTTTTGTCTTGTCCCTCTTTTCCAGATTGCACCTTCGATTGAATTCGCGGGCCTCTTCGTCTTCCTCCATAATCTCCACATCGAACCTGCATCTCCATTCGCCACATCTGGGTTAATTCTGTCAGATGATACGTTTATAGACAAGGGTAATTCCATGTTTCCATACGGTCTTTGGTTTTGGATTACGCATACGGTCTGCAATTCGCGTCAGTTCTGTTTTGGATCTGACATTCGCATTCGCTCCATCGTTGCGTCAAACGTGTTTTCGTAGGTTATTGCTCAACAGACAAAGCAGCAACAACGAGATTAAGACAAGAAAACCTAACTCGGGAGATCTGAGACATCATGTTCTGTTGCGGAGGTGCAGAGGAGGAACCTGCCGGCCCACCCGCAAACCAGTATGCCGCCCCTCCCAACAAGGCCGGGAATCCTCACGTCGCCGGTAAATTCATCCTCATATATGTATGTCTGTATGTAAACACACACATATATATACATATTGATTTCTGTGTGATTTTGGGGGTGTTTGTATAGGTGGGAACAGAGGGGAGCCGAGGAATCCGGGCGCGGCTAGACCGGGAGGGCCTCCAAAGGTACTGCCGATAGAGATACCGTCGGTTCCTCTCGACGAGCTGAACCGGATCACGGGTAACTTTGGCAACAAGGCACTGATCGGCGAAGGCTCCTATGGCCGTGTATTCTCCGGCAACTACAAGGGCCGAGACGTCGCCATAAAGAAGCTTGACACTAGCTCTTCCCAAGAACCCGACTCCGATTTGTCGGCTCAGGTATAATCAAAACACGCAGATTCAGATCAGCACGAAAGAACAGTCAGATCGATTCTCATTGTTCTTGATTAGGTCTAGAACAGATTTTTTAACCTGTAAGTGTTGATGTAATTGCTCTTGGTGAAGTTATCTGTGGTCTCACGGCTCAAACACGAGCATTTCGTGGAGCTCCTCGGATACTGCTTGGAGGCGAATAACCGGATTCTGGTCTACGAGTTCGCTACCACGGGATCCCTACTTTCTTCTAGATGCTGCAACAGTTATTTTACACGACATATTACACGGCAAGCAACCGTATATATATATATGAACATTTTCACGCTGAATAACCCGAAAAAGGGGAATAAAGAAACGGTGTTTGATGGTGAGACAGGGAGGAAAGGGGTGCAAGGGGCAGAGCCAGGGCCGATGCTGAGCTGGAACCAGAGGGTGAAAATAGCGTATGGAGCGGCGAAAGGGCTCGAGTACCTGCACGAGAAGGTTCAGCCTCCGATCGTGCACAGAGACGTGAGATCGAGCAACGTACTGTTGTTCAACGACTTTGTGGCCAAGATGGCCGATTTCAACTTGACCAACGCCTCTTCCGACACTGCTGCCCGTCTCCATTCCACTCGCGTCCTGGGCACTTTCGGCTACCACGCCCCCGAGTACTTCTGCTACCTCTCTCCTTTCTCGTTTCGTATACAAACCAATGAAAAATGGGTTGATGTTGTACATATTATCGGGTTTAGGTATGCAATGACGGGACAGATAACGCAGAAGAGCGACGTGTATAGTTTTGGGGTGGTGCTTTTGGAGCTCTTGACGGGTCGGAAGCCCGTCGATCATACCATGCCTAAAGGCCAACAAAGTCTTGTCACTTGGGTACACACACATTCTTTTTTGGGACTGTCTCTAATGGAATATGTGTATATGCATACCCTAAATATCGTTATGTGTGTGTGTGTGTGTGATGAAATGGGTACAAAAGGCGACTCCAAGGCTAAGCGAAGACAAAGTGAAGCAATGCGTAGATCCAAAGCTTAACAATGACTACCCTCCAAAGGCAGTGGCCAAGGTCCGTACCCCTACACTTCATTCCATTAGTGTATATATATACGTACAAATGGGTGTATCATATAGAGATGGTGTGTGTATATGTGTGTGTGTGTGGGTTCAGTTGGCGGCGGTGGCGGCGTTGTGCGTTCAGTACGAAGCGGATTTCAGACCGAACATGACGATCGTCGTTAAGGCGCTTCAGCCTCTTCTCAACTCCAAACCTCCTGGTCCCGACTCCTCCTCTTCCTCTCTTCCCTAATCTCTCTCTCTCTCTCTCTCTCTCTCTCTCTCTCTCTTTCTTGTTCCTTTTTTTTTTATAAATTTATGGATGATGATACGGTTTAAACATTTGGGTATATGGGATTTAATTGTTGTATGTACCAATCTGTAAAATGCTCAACAAACTCCCTTGTTGACACGTGTTTATTTATATTATATTATATGGTTCGATCTCTTTCCTTTATTTTTTTGTCCTTGTTTTGAAATCATAAGCCTGCCACCAAATGGGTTTCCCAATCGGCATAATTTTCAACTATATATATATATGTATGTGTGTGTATATACACCAATGACTAATTAATGACCATTCATATGTAATATATTTGACCTTGCAAATATAGAATACAGCATGGTGACAACATCATATCCTCACATTTGAGGGAAGATGACAAAAACATGTCATATGGAGCCTTCCAACCAAAGCCTATTATATACGCAGGGGTGGGCACGGGTCGGGTATCCGGAAATTTGAGGGTATCCGAACTCGAACCCGAATATTTCGGGTTACATGTTTTATTACCCGATCTCATACCCGTAAAATCGAGTACCCGAATTCGAAAACCCATAAGATAATTTTTGGGTATTCGAGGATACCCGAACCCGAATATTTGTAATTTTTTCAATTATTATTTTTAAATATATTTATATATACATACACAAAATCATTCAAAACAAATTTAAATTGTATTTATATCTGAAATAACTTTATTTTAAAAAAATACATCAAAGATATATCCCAATAATATCTATATAATCATTAATATTAAATAAAATAACATAAAATCTAATAAAAAATCTAAAATTTAAAACATATTTTTTTATTATTCGGGTACCCGAAAGTACCCGTAAGATAATAACCATTACCCGAATCCGAACCCGAAAATTCGGGTATTCTAATACCAATACCCGATCTCATGTCTCATTCGCTCAGATACCCGAATTTTCGGGTACCCGACCCTCGGGTCGGGTTGGGTACTCGAAATCCGGGTATTTTTGCCCACCCCTATATATACGTATGTATATGCATTACCACGACATCTTTCACGTATAAATTAATATTATTTCACACTTTGATTTAACAGTAAATAAATATTGTTATTATTATTAATTTTCATTTGCGCCTCTGTTTTTCCAATTTACCGGAATGCTCATAAAAAAATCGTATTGCAGTAAGTAAAAAATAATAATAATCAATACTCTCTCTCTACTCTCTAAGCCCATTTTAATTTTTAACCGTCCTTCCTTTCTACCGAGCAAGCTTCGTATCTCTCTCTCTAAATATATACGCACGCAACGCAGCTGCCGAATCTCATCGTGACCGGCCGAGGAACCCTGATTCGCGTCTCTCTCCAATTCGATTCCTTCTTCCAAGGATCCCGAAAGGTTCAATCCCCTTTGAAATATCGTAATCTGGCTTTTTAGAATCACCCCGACTCGTCAATCCTATTCATCTCGATCGTAATCGAACGTTTTCTCCCTTTTCCCGATTGGATTTTGGTGTTTCCTCCGTCCGATTCGGGGGAATTGAATCGCCCCGGATCGTTTCTTGATTGGGTTTTTGAGTATGGGACCGTGTTGGTGATTATGGAAACGCTGGTTGATAAGCATAGCAGAGTGTAAAAGGATGCCGAGTTTAGCGCAGAGGAATGATCACTACTCTTTTGGTTTCTGGTCCAAGGACGGCGATGGCATCAGCTACAATCAGCTGCATAAGGTAGCTGTCCGTTTTCTTATCACTACTTTGGAGATTGCGATTTTCCTGGATTGTCTCTCTCGGAATTCAGCGTAGATTGGATCTTAGGCCATGAATTACTCATTACTGTGTGTTTATGTGTTTCTGACGAGTGTTTGGTTGCTAGAGGTGTTAGCTTTGATTGTATCAATGGAGTTTCTTATTCTTCAGATATCTTAGTTCTATTTGCTCTGGTCGTAGGACGCACTTTTTTTTTTTTTTTTGTCTTTTTCGGAGTGATGTTTCAGTCTGACATTGTGGGCAAGTAGTTTCTAGTCGAAATCATGGTTTTTAGTGATTGGAAGGCTGTATAGGTAAGAAGATGTGGCCTTGAAGGCACAGACATCTTAATGGCACCGCAGCTGGAACCAAGTAAATGAACTCATGTGTTCAGATTTTCAGTTTCTTTTCTGTACATCTGTTTTTACCCAAATCGTGGAAATAGTGAAGTCTCCCCTGTTGGTACATTTGCTCTATTTTCTGGATTTATCTTGGACTAGTTAGCCATTAGATTCTTAATTAATTGCTGCCAACTTGTGTACAGTTCTGGAGCGAGCTTCCGCTGAGAGCTAGGCAAGAGCTCCTAAGGATCGACAAGCAGATGCTGTTCGAACAAGCTCGCAAGAACATGTATTGTTCTAGATGCAATGGTCTGCTGCTTGAAGGGTTCTTGCAGATTGTTATGTATGGAAAATCCTTGCAACCGGAGGGATCAATAGGGAATCCTTATTGCAACAGATCAGGAGCATCAAATGATATCAATGACTCTATCCCAGTTGTCAGGAATGGATGTGCCGATGAGATGCAAGATCCTTCTGTTCATCCTTGGGGAGGTCTCACCACAACGCGTGACGGGTCACTCACACTTCTTGACTGTTATTTGTATGCAAAGTCCCTCAAAGGACTCCAAAATGTAAGTTCATTTACGGGTTTCACTCCTGCAGTCCTATCGGTTAGAGTAGCTAATCTTTTGGTCCTAGCAGGTGTTTGACAGTGCACGGGAACGAGAAAGGGAACGTGAACTGCTCTATCCTGATGCTTGTGGTGGTGGAGGTCGGGGATGGATAAGTCAAGGAATGGCTAGCTATGGAAGGGGGCACGGAACAAGAGAAACATGTGCTCTACATACTACAAGGCTCTCATGTGATACATTGGTGGATTTTTGGTCTGCACTTGGAGAGGAAACTCGGCAATCTCTTTTGAGGATGAAAGAAGAGGATTTCGTTGAGAGGCTAATGTACAGGTATGTTGCCGGTTAACACTGATATTCTTAGATGTTCTACCAACTGTTGATCTGGGAAAAAAATCTGGGCATTATCTGGTTGTTCCATCTATGACAAATCTGAAGTTTTACTGGTCAAGTTATCATTACTTTTAGTTACACCATTTGCTATCATATGCTCTCTTTTCTTATTTTTCTGAGGCCTTACGGAGACTTTTGAATGACAGATTCGATAGCAAGCGGTTTTGTAGAGACTGCAGAAGAAATGTTATTCGTGAGTTTAAAGAACTCAAGGAACTGAAACGAACGCGAAGAGAACCTCGATGTACCACCTGGTTTTGTGTTGCTGATACAGCTTTCCATTACGAGGTCCGTTATTTTCTAGCCTTTTCGTTTTGCTTTGTTTGCTGATTTCCATTGCGCTGGAGGTCTAGGTTTTAAGACGTATTTACCGGTATTTTTTGAGAGGGTGATATCGCAAGATAGCATCACAAGTTCGATTATGATTTCTCAGGTATCCATTGATTCAGTCCAAGCAGATTGGCGCCAAAATTTTACTGAGACTTCTGGAATATACCATCACTTTGAGTGGGCAATTGGAACGGGTGAAGGCAAATCTGACATCCTCGAATTTGAAAATGTTGGCCTGAATGGAAGTGTACAAGTCAAGGGCCTGGACCTTCGTGATTTAAACGCATGCTACATCACCCTTAGGGCTTTTAAATTAGATGGTCGTTGCTCTGAGATATCCGTAAAAGCCCAAGCATTGAATGGCCAACAATGCGTGCACTGCAGGCTTGCGGTTGGGGATGGGTTTGTCTCAATTAAGAGAGGGGAAAGCATTAGAAAGTTTTTTGAACATGCCGAAGAGGCTGAGGAAGAAGAGGTAGATCAAGATTTATTAACTTCTTAACTGAACTCTCTAAAGTGTTCGAGACTATGCAAATTTCCAGTCTCCTTTTTAAAAGATTATCATTGTGCCTCTCCTATGCAATTTAAGGATGAAGATTTGATGGACAAGGATGGGAATGAGCTCGATGGGGAATGCTCTCGTCCGCAAAAGCATGCAAAGAGTCCCGAACTCGCTCGGGAGTTTCTTCTAGATGCTGCAACAGTTATTTTCAAGGAACAGGTTTGTTGAAGATAGATCCACAAATAATTGAGGTGCCTCAAGATTGTAATTTATCGATTGTTTGTGGTCTGGATAGACACTCATTTCTATCTGTTTTTGAATATCTTAGGTGGAAAAGGCATTTAGGGAAGGAACAGCCCGTCAAAATGCACACAGCATCTTTGTTGGTCTTGCGCTGAAACTATTAGAGCAACGTGTTCATGTTGCCTGCAAGGAAATTATCACCTTGGAGAAGCAGGTTTGTATTTTATACTAGGTACCATTTTACGGTATGCTATGCAACCTAATGCGAGGCATGTTATTTCGATATTTCAAACACCGACATTGTCTTTCCTTCTGCAGATGAAACTTCTCGAGGAAGAAGAGAAGGAAAAGCGTGAAGAAGAGGAGCGGAAGGAGAGGAAAAGAGCAAAAGAAAGGGAGAAAAAACTTCGTAGAAAGGAAAGGTTGAAAGAAAAAGAGAGAGGTAAAGGGAAGAAGAATCCCGAAACTAATGATAAAGCAATGCTGCCAGATGCGCCACACGAAGAAGGTTCACCAAACCTTGATGAGGAGACGAACAATAGCACAAGCTGCAAGGAATCAATAAATGAAACCGACGATGTAGATTTGTCTCCACCTGGTTTTTCTGATGATCAAGATGAACAGTGCTTTGATAGTTGTCCTTCACCAAATGCGGAAAACCAATGTTATGACGCCCCTGATGGAGAACTTATAAATGTTGAAGATGAGAATGGATGCTCTACAAATGATCAGCCGGAATCTGTTCATCTGAAAGCGAAGTTTCGGAAAGAACTTCAACCTGATCATGCCATGGGGTGGTCAGATAAACACAGATGTTCCCAAAATGCTTCTTTTGTCAGTAGATCGGAGGTTAGATACCATAATGATAGATTAGAGGCGCCTTCAAGATGCTTCAATGGGTCAAATAGACAGCTGAGAGTGAACATTTCAAAAGGCAGCAGTCCAAATGGCATAAAGTGCAACGGGAAGTTCCAATGTCCTAACAACAGGACAGGTGAGAGGTATGATTCTCATTCTTGCAGTTGCAAACAAAATAAAGAATACCGGGCAAAGATAGAGCCTAATGTCTTTGCAACCAGATGCATGCAAGAAGCCCAACCCCTATTCAAATCAAACTATGTTCCAGATGCCTCCCAGCCAGCATACTGGAGCAATAGGTATGCTAAAACAGACTATGCACGTGAGTTAAGACCCAAAAGCAGAGCAACCCTCAGTCAGAATCCTTCTACGAGGGATCCACTGAATTCAAAAAAGGTTTGGGAGCCCATCGAGCCGAAGAGGTATCCACGGAGCAATCCAGACTCAGAAGTGACATTAAGATCTTCAACATTCAAGGCTGAAGAGATTGAACATGGTAGTGCTGCCTTAAAGTTGTCTCCAAATAAGGCTACAGAAAAGTTGGCTAATGGCAATCACAGGGACAACGGCCGGGAATCTGGAGATTGTATCGATTCAACAGAGGAAGACAGTCAGGTTGAAGTTAATGTGCAAGAAAAGAATGCCTGGCTCTTGAAAGACAGTATGATGAGTAGTACTTCCAATTCAGACAACTGCTCCTCGTGCCTTAGTGAGGGAGACAGCCATACCGCTTCTTCAAACAGTGGAAACACAGAATCATCCTCAACATCTGACTCCGAATATGCTAGTCACCATTCTGAAGAAAGTGGAAACTCAGCAGATGCTCAGAACGATGTCCTGAACTGTCGCGGAAAGGTAGCAGACGTTTCGGGATATCGGAATTTGTCTGGCCTTCCACCGGACAGTGGAGGAAGTAAATCCTCTGAGGTTCCTTTTACGGTACCTGGCTGCAACATGGATAATATGGTAGCTGGTATTGATATGGGTTCTCAACCACAGGACATGTTTCCAGAATTGCTTAACCACAATCTACAGTTTCCGGTTTTCCAGGCTCCTTACCATCAAGTTCCAGTTTCATGGCCAGCAGCTCCAGCCAATGGATTAATGGCGTTCCCGCCTCCTAACGATTATCTATACGCTGATTCACTTGGGTATGGTCTGAACGGAGATTCCCGGTTATGCATGCGGTATGGTGGCACATTGAATCATTCAGCCACTCCTCCTTTCTTCGATGCTGGACCTGTTCCAGTTTTCCATCCATTTTCCAAAGCCAACGGCGAGGAGCAAGCTGAAATTCTCGAGCTATTGGGAAACAAATCAAAGGAAGAAGATGGAGGGAAAGGCTGTCATAGACCTCCAATGGAGTCTCCAAACGCTGGTGGCGACAATAGCTTTTCCTTGTTCCATTTCGAAGGGCCAATAGCTTTTGCTGCAGGTTGCAAATTGGATTCTGCCCGCTCCAAGGAAGGGTTTTCAGGGGATTTTTCATTACGGTTTTCGGGAGATCATGAATGGAGTGATCTCGCTTGCAATAACAAAAATAAAGAGGGTACAGTGGAAGAGCATAACTTGTTTGCGGCGACCAACGGCTTGAGATATTCGTTATTCTGAAATGCTTTTGCATTGGCTGGCTGTTGGGTTGTTTTGCTATATGGAGTGTGTGAGTCCTTTTTTTTTTACTTTGTAATCCCGAACACAATAATGTCTTTTCGCTCTTGTCGGATTTGTATCCGGTCTGCCTCATTGTTTCATTTGATGTTTAGATCGAGTAAAGAGTTGCAAGAGTTTTAGTGTTTTTTCGCCATTTTCATGGATCTGTTTCTTTTCTCTGAATCATTTGCAATTATGAAAAAAAAATCATTCTCCATCAAGAAACTCAGACAAGGAAAATATCCGATACATCTGAATTTTGTCCGAAGGATTTCAAGCTATGGAAAATTTCAGCACAGCAAGGTAAAGTCCAGGCTCGTCTACGAACTTAGTCACCTCGAAGGAGTGCTTCTTAGCAAAGGTCTGCAGAGTTGAACTGTCGGGCAACTCAGAGACGACGACATGATCCGGGTCCTGCTTCTGCCGCTGCTCCTCCAAGCCCTTTCTCCCTTGTGGGTGGCTGATGACAATCCTTGCACCTGAAACAGAGCATAGAGTTGTGTCAGAAACACGACCAACCGGAAAAAAAAAACATTAGTAACCTCAGACAGGAAGAGAAGATATGTAAGTGAGTACCAGGTGAACAACGTTCTGACAGCATCTTCAGAATCTCGTCGAGGCTGAAGGGCAAGGCTGGTAGAAAATAGAGAAACACGACATCCAAAGGAGACCATTTTTCCGGGACGTAGGTCAGTTCTCCTTGCCAACACTTGACTTTGTCATACTTTTCCTTGACACAAGCTAACACGAAGAGGGAATCATGCACAACGAGCAAAAGTTGGGACGGTGAAGATTCCATCAGATGATCAATGAAGGCTTCTGACCCGATGGACACCAAAACCCTGGATGATTCCGAGATCTCTCCTGCCTTTACGATCCGTTCGATCTTCTGGGCATGATCAGAAGAGCCGGTTTCCATAGATTCGAGAAAGGACCAATCTTTTTCGTAGAAATCCTCTACATTGACCACAGGGGCTGCCCCCTCTGAGGGAGTGGTGGCAGAAGCAGAAGGGGGTCTACGACACAACAAATAAAATAATTTCTTGGGGAATGAAGGAACAGTCGGCGAAAGAGAGCAACTCCATAGACGGGTTGTATCGAATTTAAGTCGCCTAAGTTGCAATGACAGAAGCCGTGGTGAACTGCGGGTGGACACGGATGGCGGCAGAAGTGAAGAAGAAAACGACAGGGAATGCATTGGGAACAATACCCAGAACTCCTAATGTCTTTATGCCCAATGGCTTGGCTTCAAACAAAGATGTCTCCTTTGATGTTTCTATGTCACCGCCAATGCATAATTCATCAGTTCATCTGTAGTCACTGACAACAAAAAGTATAAACAGGTGATCAATGATCTTCGTTGTGAAGGGTAGCAATTGCCAAGATTACGAAACTGGCTGGACACTGTACCCAACATGATCAATCGCCCAGATACATACTCTGTTCAAATAAATATCTCAAATGTTCCTGAACAAAAGAAATACTCTGCCATAGAAACCAAATACACGTAAACATGAACCAAAACAAGAGCAAAAACATCGAAAAAATGGAACAAACCATAGTCTTTATTGCGATACAGATAGGTCAAAGATCGCAGAGTAATCTTAATCATAGTAAAGGTGTAACAGTCTACAAAATAAACACTTCTGTAGGAAGAAATGGACAAGTTGTAGGAAACTGGCCTCTCAGGTATTCCATCAAACACCTTGTAAGCACCTAAATCTCCAAAACATTCCGCACAAAATTAACGGGTATATACAATCCACAGACAAAGCAGCCCGATCAGTCAAGAAAGGATATAGAAACAGAGAATTTTGGATCATGGAACCACGGAATCATGGCGAAAGCACCATTATTTAGCCGAGACAGAACATACCCGTCAAGGTCAGAGAGAGAGGAGAGAGATCACCGGCGAGAGAAAGTTCCCAAGAAGGGTAAAAAAACAGAGAACGATGTGGGTTGCGAAGGGTTCATAGAATCTACAAAAGACATAAAGATGAATGCATACGCAGAGACAGGAGCTTACCTTGTTTCTCTTCTTGCTCCAGTTGAAGAAGCTCGTCGTCATGCGAAGGATATGAAATTATCACAACGGAGAAAAACAAAATTAGAAAAAAAAAAAAAAAAAAAAAAAAAAAAAAAAAAAAAAAAAAAACAAAAAAAAAAAAAAAAAAAAAAAAAAAAAAAAAAACTGAACTCTTCGTTGCTGGCCTGGATTTGGCGGTAATGGATTTGATTCTTCAACTTGTAACTATGAAAGCCCAATATTGCGGCCCAATTCATATAAGCCCATTATGACCATATTATTATTATCCCCTTTTTTATATTTTTTTATTTATTTTTTAAGCGGCTTGTAATTTTTGTGTAAACAATCTTAAGTAATAAATAGTTACCACATTTACCAATTTTATAAATATCTGGCATCTCTATAATGCTATGATTATTTAAATTTTAATTCAGAGATAATCTTATTGAGATATTGTGTTATCATGAAAATGGGAAAGCACAGAACTCATGCCGCAAAACACATGCATGGACATGGTGCATGGCATTCTTCCCTGTGCCACATCATACGACATCCGTAGCACTAAAAGCTTGTAACATTAAAACAGCAAAATCTGAATAATTTTGGTGGCTAGACTTCGTCGGGGATTCGGACAAGAATGGAGTGTTCGGGTTTGTGTTCGCATTCGTAGTCAAGATGAACAAACGCTCTTTCCACTTCAGGAAGCTCTTCTATTTTTATCTGCAACGTTTCCCCTATTGTATGCGCCTCTTTCAGCGGCAAATCTTCCGGGAGTTCGATATCAACCTGCGATTTTTATAACATTCATATCATCAAGAAAAACCCTTTTTGTATCATATACATATATATATATATATATATATATATAAAGAATCATGGAGAAGAAATTAAATGAAAAGCATATATAGTTTATAAACCTCGACGAAGTAAAGAGCGCCAAAAGTGTAGGCGCGAACCGTGTCGACCCGTTTGATCGCATCGCGATTGTGACGGAGCACAAGGTACGTCAACTTCTGTAAAACCTCGGGAGGCGCTGATTGTCCAATCAAAGATACTGCATGCATGCACGCAAACAAAACAAAAACGAATATTGAAATGATATAAAACAACGTGGAATCCATGCGCGCATGCAATGCAAGATTCCGTACTCGTGAATCATATATATAGGTATGTATATATATATATACACATATTTGTTGAGAATTACCTGCATTTTCTATTACGGTTCTAGACCATGTGGAGATGGTGTAGACCGCGAGGAGTATAGCACCGGAGGGATCGATCCACCAGTAGAACTCGTCCCCAAGAACAGCAGCGACCAACCCGAGAACATTGGTCACCACGTCAAAGTAATGATCCTATATATGCGTGTATATATACACGTGTGTGTATATATATACATGATCAAAAGCCCAAATACATATGTACATATAAGGAGAGCGAGTGAGTGAGCATGCGTGCAGTTGCACGCATGAGAGAAGAGATGAGGACAGAACCTTGGCATAAGCACGGACGATGTTGTTCTTAGAGGTTCTGCAATAGAGCCATAGGGCGAGCTTTGATACAGTTGCGGTTAACATGATGGCGTATAACCAAACCAATTGCTCATGACTCATCTTCTCCGATGGCCTATTCTCAATCAATTGCGAAACTGCCTCCACCAGCACTTGGAATCCTATATATACATACACACACACACACACTTGGTTGATCATATAAGTAGCTTTAGGGAGTTTCCCTTAAATTATACAAACGACCAAGAATCAATATTTAACTTGAAAATTAAAACACTATCTACATAAACTTGTTAATTTTAAATAATAATAAAGAAAATGTGTTTAAAACCGAGTAAATTTAGATCACGGGAAGGATTTCTCGAATTCAAATAAAGTAAATAACTAAATATCGGATCAACCTTTGACCGTGTTCAGTCAGACCAAAGCAACGAAACATTTGGTAATAACAAATGAACCTTTCATGTCATTATCGACGTGTGTTGGATATAATTCCATATCAAATCCCAGCCAAATGACCCGAACTCTATTCAACAGGGTTTTTTGACCAATTACTCCGTGTTTCGGCCAAGAGATAGATCGATAAATAAATATGATAAGAGCTGAAAAAACGAATTGATACAAAAAAAAAAAGAGGGTAATTGAATAAAATCTAACAAGAGTTTACAGTGTCGGAAACTTACCAAGAGTGGCCATAACGGCAGCAAAGACGATGATTCCGACAGGTTGAACCCTAAGCTTCCCAATTGGGTATTTGTAGATGTTTATGTTGATCATCGACATGTGCGTGAACCAAAGTATTCCTCCTGCTAATAGATCCAACAAAGAATCCAGTGTCGATGCAGCTATGGCTATCGATCCACTCTTCACCGTTGCATATATCTATAATAACACACACACACCGGTTATATATAAGTACTTCGCAATATATGACTATATATATTATAAACTTTAAGGTAAAAAAAAATCATCTCATGGGATGGGAATTAACCTTGAGAGCAAGCAGGAGAATGTTAGCGCAATTGGAGATTTTCATGGCGCGTTCTTGTGCAGATTGTTCGGCTTGCCCTTGTTCGTCGATCCTATCTTGTGATTGAACCACGGAATATTCCACTTCCTCGAAGGATTTCAGTGTGGCTAATTGCCTTTCGTAATATTCCTTTTCACCTTTTCGAATCAGACAATGAAAGATTTTCATCAATCTTAACAAACAATTAAAATATATTGTGTGTCAGTGTGTGTGTGCGTGTGTATATATACGTAGATTCACGTATGTACCGCTTTTGAGGCATGTGGCTTTGGAGAGATCGAGATGAAAAGGGTTTTCGGGATCGAGCGTAGATTGAATCTTTTGAGGCAAATTTGCAAAGAAATTCGATTTCATCGTTGAAACCAAACCGCTTTTGGGCTTCTCAGCCTCGTTGGTCGACAACAATGGTGTTCTTGTTTCCGCACAACCAACGTCGCTGACTTCCATGTTTGATGATGATGATGAATTAAAAAAAAAAAGAGAAATCGAAAACAAATCGAGATGATGATGAGGAGGAGGAGGAAGATGAAGATAACAAATGAAAGGAGGATACAAGGGAATTAAGTGTGGGTGATATATATATTGTTAATATTTGGAAATTACAGCAAGTGGAGATTCAACCTCTAAAAGAATCTATGCAAAGAAGGAATTTGTTCTATTGAAGAAAGGAAAAAAAATGCAACAAAGGAAAAAAAATGGAAATAAAAGGAATAAAAATCAAAAGAAAAGAAAAAACAATATCGGAAATAAGAGGAGGAACTACATACAAACATAAAGACGTGGAAGGTATAGAAAGGTGTCGATAGGATCGGGCATTTAAACGAGTAATCCGTAGATTTGCGGGTACCCGAGATCTAAAAAGTGGATTTTCAATATTCAATGAAAACGAAAACGAGTATTGGAAGGTAAAACCCGTATGACGGGTTTGGGTTTCGAAGATTTAGAGGACGGATTATCTGTGTATAGTTGTATATATATATATATATATATATATATATATATATAAGATAAAATTATCCTTATAATTCAAAAATATTTATCAAATTATCTAGAGTTTTATATTGTTTCTATTATCATCCTAACCATTTCTACTTTCCATTCAAATGAGATGGTAATATTAGACCGAGAGATAATTAGAATGACTTTGTAATTAGAATGAAATCAACATTTATTTGCTAACAAATTACACAATTTTTTCTTTTATATGTTAGATTTATATATTGGATCTTCAAGTTTTTGTGAATTCAATTTCAAAATCATTTTGTATCTTTGAAAAACTTTCTATGAATCTATGCATATTTTCATATTTTAAAATTTTCAAACTGTAAATTTGTTTATGGATCAAAATATCTATATATGATTTTGTTGGAAATTTGATTTAATTTTCGATTGGTGAATATTGTATATATAGGTACGCGTACTTCTCCATATCCGTCTTTTAACAACGAATATTCGTTAGATAGGTATGTCGATGTTGTGAGATAAAGATAGAGAAAATATTTTTATAAAACTTGTGAAGATGAAAACGAAGATAGATATCTCAAAAAATGCAGGTATCCGATCCGTGTTTATCCCTAGGTATCTGCTGAATAGAGAAAAAGTAGATTGAAAGATTGAATCATGAAAACATTAGGTATAAATATATATGTGTATGTGAAACACAAGTGAAAATTGCTTGGAAGAGTAGTAGATTATATTTGAGTGAGAGTTTTCAAATAATAGGCGAACCATTCAAATGACTTAGATGAGTTGAAGCTTATACGAGGTATGTATGTATACGTTGATAAATTTTTTTATGGTATGGAGTTTTAATTAGAAGAAGTGAAACAGGTGATTGTGTGTTATTTTAATGAAACCAAATTATACTTGACTTTTAACAAAGAAATAGAACGAGTTGAGGGTTTGATATATATTATCGTGTGTGATTTTTTCATATATAAGGAGAATAACATACATAAAGTTAAATTATATTTTTTTTATGGTTATATTCTTATTTTAAAAATGGTGATACATAGTACATATATGGGCAATGAAACGATAGAGGGAGGACAAGGTGTGGTGTTGGCCCACCCCACATGCCAAAGCATCGAGCAAAGCTTGTCGGATTCTAAATAAATACGATTGTCGCCTGGGTAAATGACAAATGTCAAAGGGCCATTGGGCAGAGATATGATTGCTACGTGTAACTGCAACGACAAAAACCCTAATCTTGGGATGAGAGAAGGATATATGAGTATTTAGTTTTTCACGGAATGTTAATAAACTGAGGCGTGTAGGGTTTTTTTTACCCATACTAATCTCATTAGAAATAAGGAAAAGATGCATCCAATCTCATAAACTATATATACGAAAAACACAAGATTGGTAGGCTCAACGGATAATAAATGGAACAAATCTCATTTTCAACCTGATTCGAGTTCTCATTGAGACTTCCTTGATCATCTGAAAGGTATAGTCGGATCAAAAGTCCGATAAACTTTTGAATTAAAAATTATACAAAAAATAACTTTCAGATTAAAAAAATTAAAATAAAAAAAATTATATATACGAAACTCGCATCATATATATTTAGAACAAAAATCGTAGACGCATGAGATCGTTTTGCAACTGCTTCCTATCTAAAATCCGGACCTTAGATCATTAATAATTTTCATAATCACGCCATGTAATAGAAGGGAGGGGGGGGGG